ATAGAATGGGTGGAGTTCCTGAGAAATAACACCTACCATTGTCCCCTGGCTTCCATGTACATAAACACAAAATATTCATTTCCCCCAAATCTAGTTTTCTGTGTGTACTGACCCCCCTACCCCGCCACCCCCACATCCCCCATATCGGGGTTGAACCTAGCGCCTATTGGATGTTAGACAGGTATGGCTAAACAAGAAGACCTTGGTTTCTCCTGGTGGGCTTGTGTTTCTGTGTGGCAGCACCAGTTCCTGGTGCAGTTCCTGGTCCCATTTCACAGTCTGTTGCTGGTGGCTGAATTAAGAGTCTTTAATTTGGTGGGTGAAGAACCCTGTGCTTGGCCAGGTGTGAAAGCACACATCTTTATATTCCTAGCCTAAGCTACATAGTTAGACCTCATCTAAATACAAGCAGCAACAAAACTCAAACTTCTGTAGGTATTTAACAGTGTGTGGCTTCAGTGAGACAGCTGAGCGCTCTGTGCAAATGCTGTTGGCACTGTCCTTCATCTCTGCCCTGGATTTTAGCATGTGTTGGAGCCTGGGCTCTTGGGTCAGGTAAATTAGCATCTTGTCTCTTCATTGGTTGTGAATAACCATGGCAGGTGACTTCTCCATCTATTCATCTGGACAGTAGACATAATGACAGTTATGCGAGTGGGGTTTTTATTGAGGGTATGAGGGCCTGCTACAAGTGGCACACAAAGTCCCAATTTTGGCAACCATGGTAGAGAACAAGTGTGTGCTCATCACTGTTGGATTTATTTTAGGATGGTCTGGTCTATGCAGTTGAGTTCTCCCACCGTTCTGGCCGTGACCTCATCAACTTGGCCAAGAAGAGGACCAACATTATTCCTGTGATTGAAGATGCTAGGCACCCACACAAATACCGCATGCTTATCGGTGAGGGGCCTGGGGACAGCCCAGGGAAGGTAGGATTAGCCACTGCATGTCTCCCAGGAAAGGCCAGTGGAGTTAGCGTGAGGAGCTGCAGGTGGGGATTGTGCTGGGTCGTCAGACCCATTCGCTTCTGGTCCTCTCTGCCACTTGATGCCTTTTCACACTGCCCTGGTTTGTGTCTTAAAGCCTCTTGCCTTTGTTTATATTATCTGATGAGATGCCAGCCCTCAACACAGCAAGTATGACCCAATGGCTTTGTTTTCTTGTTTTTTTTTTGTTTTGTTTTTGTTTTTTTGTTTTGGTTTTTTTTGTTTTGTTTTTTGTTTAAACACCTCCAAGGTCTAGTATAAAGTGGAAAGCCTCGTGAGTTCCCCCCGAGGTACTTGATACTTGCCATCTGCTTTTCCAAGTTCTTAAGAGATTTCATTCTATTACTTTTGTTTGCATTTTAAATCATACTGCCTAAAAGCATTGCCTTTTCATTGTACTTTTTTGTTGTTGTGTTTGGTTGGGTGGGGGGATTTTTTTTTTCCCCTCCTCCTCCATTTCGATTCACTTGGCCCCTTCTCTGGTCCTTGTCCTCATTTGACAGCCCTGACCACGTCTTGCATTTAACTGCTCACCTTTACTTCTCTTTTTGATGACATGTCTGTCTCCCCCCAGACCCGGGAGCATCTCGAGGGCAGGGTCTGACTCGTCTCTGTGTCCCCCACGCCCAGCCCAGGGCTGGCCACAGAGTAGGTGGCAACCATGGTTTACAAGAGGAGTGGCTGAGTGATGTGACTGGGTTCTGGCCCCACCTCCGGGGTGCTTTGGAGGGGGAGGGTGTGTGGTGGGGAGTGAGAGTGGAGGCAGAGACTCCCAGGAACCTGGTGGTGACTAGCACAGGCCCCCATTGGGAGGCTCTAGGCAGCTTTCTGATGGCTTCCACTTTTAATGGTTGTCTGTCCCTTTTTCCTTAGCGATGGTGGATGTGATCTTTGCGGATGTGGCACAGCCAGACCAAACCCGGATTGTAGCCCTGAATGCCCACACCTTCCTGCGGAATGGAGGACACTTTGTGATTTCCATTAAGGTGTGAGGGTTGGAATGTAAGGCGGCCTGGTAGCTGGGTACTTGATCTCCTGTGTCTGAGCATGTCACTTAGCCTGTTGGACTCAGTTTCTTCATTTACTAGTCCTCTTTAAAGGTTGGAGTAAAGACTGATCTATGAAGTGTTTGGATAGAATAAATATTAAACAAGTGTAAAGTGCGTTTTTCAAAACATTTTAATTTGAAATACAAAAAACTTCAGGCATCTTCACCATGTTCAAAATTAGCTAGCCTGTTGCTACATTTGTTTTACTGTTAACCAGGGCATGGAAGAAAATTCCTGAGTTAAAACACTACGTTAGATAAACGGAACATCCTGTTTCCAGTCCAAGCCATATTAAAATGGCTGTAATGGAGTTTTATGATTGCACAACCCTGGCTCTCCAAATCTTCAGTGAAAACGTTCTTGAAGGTTAAAACAACACCCAGACCTCAAGCCCTTTCTCCTCTGTAGGCCAACTGCATAGACTCCACAGCCTCTGCGGAAGCTGTGTTTGCCTCCGAAGTGAAGAAAATGCAGCAGGAGAACATGAAGCCCCAGGAGCAGTTGACGCTAGAGCCCTACGAGCGGGACCATGCTGTGGTTGTAGGTGTGTACAGGTGAGTACCAGAAGAGACAGACCTCTCCCTGAGCTGCAGCCTGAGCTCTCCGGGCCTGGGGAGCCGAAAATGTTGACACTACCCCCTCTGATTTCCTCCCCGCAGGCCACCTCCTAAGGTGAAGAACTGAAACCCCGAGCTGTCTGGATTGGAAGAAATGTGTGTTGCTACTGTTGCACGTGTAGTTTTGTTTTGTTTTCTATTAAAATACTCATCTGTCGCCCTTGTCTGGTTCTGTTTGCTCAGTGGCCAAAAGACGCATGCGCCCTTCACCAACTTTCTGTGCGCTTGGGGGGGGGTCGCTGCCTGGGAAAGTCTCATCCGGTCACATGGTGCATGCTCCACCGATGGCTGCTACGCATGTGCGCAGCTCCGCGCCCTGAAGGCGCAGGCGCGCCGAGTCCCCCTGGGTCACGTGGGCGGTGTGGGGGCGGAGCCAGGACAGGGGGGCCGGTTTGTTGTGGTCGCCATTTTGCTGGTTGCATTACTGGGTAATCG